ATACAATATCGCATGTATTTCTTCTTGGAAGCTCTTTCTTCCTGTGCTACTCAGCATATTTCATTGACAAACGGACATACCTAGTTATATTTTTTAATACTTTAATTGGCATGGTCCAAGAACGTAGTCTCTGCCTTGTTCAAAGTAAGAGCTCCTTGCTTGCGAGATATTAACGAATGTAATTAAAAGAACAGGAAACTGGCAGATATATCCAAATATCGTAAATTTTTAATAACTCTAAACGTATTGTTTGAAAAACCTTGATATTTGTGTAGAATTTCTTTCTGGCCTCTTTAGTGTACGCCAATTAGTACCAGCAGACAATGCAGCAAAGTGACTATGGTAATAGGACAATGAAAGCTGTCTAGGTTGTTGTTAGCGTGCATAACAAGGTTTTTCTCACTAAGGTCGTCATTTCGACAAAATATATACCGAGAATTTGATTGGCACTCTGCTCAATGTTTCCCGTTGACTTGATGTTCTACTTAATATTGCAACTGTTTTTGGAGTTTTCTTTCAGTGTTCTGCTTATTTCTCTTGATTATCTTTGTACTGTTCAAGAGCCGCTTAGTCGTGAATCTGGTTTTTAACATAAATTACGCCAATAACAAGGCTTGATAATTTATTCACTGAAAAAAACAAAGCGCGGAACACCTACCGAGAACACTGTCTAGCTGTCTTTTATTCCACGTACCGTGGAACTTCAATATAGGGGCCACGAGGCTGTGTTATTATTCCAATAATCACACTGCGACTTAGAAGGAAACTTGTAATTAAGTTGCATGGAAAAGAAAATAATTTACCACGGTGAACATTTTAGGTGAAATTGCTTACCTTACTGTATACGTGACCGGCTCGCGCGAGTTGATCGTTTTCTTAAGACTTTAGAAGACAAATGTACAATTAGTACTTCATGTTAAAAAGACAATTAAGTCGCTCTTCTTGGAAACTAATGAGAAATTTGGAATTTCTATATCTGTTTTCAACAAAATAAGCCTTGCCAATCCACCGCTAAGTTAGTTGTGGTCCAGTGAGGCTGACTACAGAAACTTTGTAATTTCGGCGTCATCTCCTTAACTATGTTTTCGATGTCATTTCTGATCATTTGGGTCATCTGTATTCTTTGTGCTTGTTATTCATCAGCCTATTGCAGACGTATTGAATTTATATTTCAACTTTACATTTCGGGCACGATGGTTAATTGCGATCAAAGCTTTAAATATACAGTGACTGATTTCGAATCATGTCGAAATTTTTGGTCCAACGTTGACATAATTTTTGTAAGCCTCCTATTCCGCCAAATACAAGGAATAGATTTTCTTTACAATTTCCAGACGTTGCCACTGACTTTTATCTGCAGACCGCAAACATTGCTGCTAATTTGCCAAATAATTCCAACCTTTTATATTTTACACTAAATTAAACACTTTTAACATCGAAGTAGATTAACGATTTGAGTTCTTGTAATAAATTGAGTCATAGTATTCCATTTAAAAGAGTTTAAATACCCACATGGAAATTTCTACGAACTGGATTTTTAAACCCTCCATACAAAACAGTCCCCTATTGTAGTATTTTGTCATTCGATTATAACAGTTTTCACAGTTAACAATTTGTGTACATGAAGAAGGATTATTCGAAGCCAAACACAAGCAGCACATCGGGGACGACTATGACAGTATTATTTTGGATCATTGGACGATGCAATTCAAGGGTAAGTTTTTTTTGGGCGTTTTTATTTTTATTTTATGTTAGTTTTCTATATTTAAGGGTGTTTTTAACAAAACAACTATTTCACTTGTGCTTGTTGGATATGAAATGATTATAGCCAACTCGGCCCGCCCGTGGAATTACATCGCGTTTACACCAGGCCAAACATGTTCAGTCTGATCACGTATGAAACATGTTTCACTACGAAGTGCTCACAGTGGCGGATCCAGACCTTGAGCTAAGGGGAGCCCAGT